ACATCACTTCTACAAAATTGTAAAGGTTTCTGAAAAATTAATTTCAACGAGAAGATGTTCAAAGCAAATATGTAATTGTTCTTTTTTTCCTATCAACTTTAAAGTCAGTGGTATTGTTTACAAGTTTTGGGTTTTATACACTATACTTAAGTTTGAAAAATAAGAAACTGAATTAATGTGCCACAGTTGGTAGAGTTGTTGCCTGTCAGCAAGAAGACTGCCAGATTGAATACCAGCTGGGGAAGGTTAGGATGACGTTTGCATGTTCTCTCCGTGCATGTGTGGGTCTTCTCTGGGTACTCCGGTTTCCTCCCACAGACCAAAAACACAAGTATTAGGTGAATTGGTGACTCTAAATTGTCCCTAGTTGTGAGTGAGAGAGTGAATGGTTGTTTGTCTCGTTTGTCTCTGTGTCCCTGTGATGGACTTGCGACCCATCCAGGGTGTACCCCGCCCCTCGCACCGTGATTGCTGGACATGGGCACCGGCGACCCCCGTGACCCAAAATGGAATAAGCGGGTAAAAGATAATGGATGGATGGTATGGTATGGTATGGTATGGTATGGTATGGTATGGTATGGTATGACTGCTGAAGATAGACACCAACAAACCCAGTGATCCAGAAAGGAAGATGTGGGTAAAGATAATGGATAGATATCTAGATGGAAGAAAGTTATATTTATTACGTTTTTGTGGTTATTTTCCTTTTAATCTGTACACATGTTGACCTTTTTTTAAATTACTTTTTTCATTAACATAAAAATAATTTGTACATTTTTTAATGCCAATATTTCTACAAACTGTTTTGTGTACATTTTGTAATGCAACATGCAAGTTGCTTTTTGAAATTTGCATCTTTTGATTGTGAAACCTGGTTTTTCTGGGTGACTAATGAAGAGTAAGCCAAATTTCTGACTAATAAAGCTGTTTATGTTTAAAGTAGTTTGGTTTATCGGTTTATTTGCGTAATATCACTAAAATTGGAAACATCTAAAAAATGATGCAGAAAAACTGGTTCATGCATTTGTCACATCTAGACTGGACTATTGCAATGGTTTGTTATCTGGGTGTCCAAATACGTCTTTAAAAAGTCTTCATTTGATCCAAAATGCTGCTGCCAGAGTCTTAACTGGAGTTACTGGGAGAGATCATATCTCTCCAGTTTTAGTTTCTCTCCACTGGCTCCCTGTCAAGTCCAGAATTTAATTCAAAATCTTACTTCTAACCCACTAAGTTCCCAACAACCTAGCTCCATCTTATATTGAAGAACTTATTGTTCCATATCTTCCTAACAGAGCACTTCAGTCTCAGACTGAAGGCTTACTCGTGGTCCCTAGGGTTTCCAAAAACAGAATGGGAGGAAGATCTTTCAGTTATCAGGCTCCTCTCTTGTGGAACCAACTTCCAGATCCTGTCCGTGAGGCTGACACAGTGTTCAGTTTTAAGACTGGGCTTAAGACTGTCATTTTTGACAAATCCTATAGTTAGGGTTGGCTTGTTATGCTGCTATAGACTTAGACTACTAGAGGACAAATTGACCTAATTTCCTTAAATGAATTGTTAAAGTTCAATAGTTTTCATTTGATACTATTTCTATCTTAACATGTGATTCTTGACCTGCCATTGTGTATCTGTTCATACCAAACCCAGCCGGTCGAAGCAGATGTGCCGCTTGTCCTGAGCCTGGTTCTGCTAAAGGTTTCTTCCTCATGAGGGAGTTTTTCCATTCCACAGTCGCCATCATGCTTGTTTGAGATGAGAGTTCTGTGAGCAGTCTGCTCCTCAGCTAAATAATGTTAACTTATTATTTTTATATGAATGTTTTTGTTAACTTATTATGTTTATACAGTTTATGAATGTTTCTGGTCAGTGCCCTGAGACGAATTCTGCTGTGAGTTGACACTTTATAAAAACACTGAATTGAACTGAATTGAGACTGACTGAGGATGGATGAATGAAGAGGGAGTGAGGAGTGGCACAGAAACACATTCAAAAACACAAGAATCAGAAGACAGAAATACAAATCACAAGGTGAAAAGAGACAAGAGAAACTCAAAGAAAGTAACAGAAAACACAGATTACGTCAGTTTTATTTGAAAACGGGAAGATTACACCACCACAGCAAATGTGCCAAGAGAGGAACATTCACCAAAACTCATACATCGGGTAAGGAAGGCATTAACCTGAGGCCAAAGATAACCCTGATGGAGTTGTATGAGCCTATCTGCCTCATAAAACAGAGGGTTTAAAAACTGCCATTGCTTAATGAAAATAAAATAAAGCAGACTATGTGGAATTTGCCCCCCAAAATATTAGCATCTCCTGAAGTGTGGAAGAAGTTTCAGCTGTGACTAAGGACAACAGCATGTTGTCATGGCACTTCTCAGGCAAAGAATAGTATTCCCACAGTGAAGTACGGCGGTGGCAGCATCATACTGTAGGAATGTTTCTCAACAGCAGCTGAGAAACTCGTCAGAGTAAAAGGAAAGATGGATGAACCATAATATCAAGAAATCCATGACTGTTTTATTCACTAACACAAAAGTATCCTAATGCACAGGGATTGTTAAAAAAAACTTAATGAAACTATATGTTTATTTTTAATTAATTTGAATAAAATCATGATTAGTGACAAAAAGAATGAGATCGCAGATACAGGCGATTGAAATGAGGTTCCTCTGCAGGGTAGCTGGACTCTCCCTTAGAGATAAGGTGAGAAGTTCAGTTATCCAGAAGAGTCTCAGAGTAGAACTGCTGCTCCTTCACCTCCAGAGGAGCCAGTTGAGGTGGTTTGGGCATCTGGTAAGAACAGTTCTGGGGCACCTCCCTAGAGAGGTGCTTGGATGGATGGATGGATGGATGGACGGACGGACGGACGGACGGATGGACGGACGGACGGACGGACAGACGGACAGACGGACAGACGGACGGACGGACGGACGGACGGATGGACGGACTGACGGACGGATGGACGGACGGACGGACAGACGGACGTTTGGATAGATGAATGGAATAAAATGATCTAAATTTACAAAATGCATATTATTGTTGTTGTTTTGTACATGGCCTAAATATATTGACAGAACTGACAGTTGACTCCATTTAGTTTGGGCTGACTTCCTTGCATAATAGCTTTCATAAACGATCAGCCTTATCCTCCACATTAATGGCATCAGGCTCGGCACCAGTAAGACCAAGACAATGGCTAATCCACATTAACAAGATTGACAGCAATAAAATCAGAATATCAGTCAAAATGAACTTTGCAGTTATATTAATAACTTAGGAGGCTGAGCCATCAGAAGTGAACATTAAAGATGTACGTTGATTTCTTCTGAATTTCTGCATTTATCCTTTATGAAGTAAATAATGTATTTCAGTAACTGTTAAAGGGCATTATCCCACTAACTGCATTGCTTTGTGAATCCTTGAAAAACGGAATAAAAAATGAAGCCAAGTGACTGACAGGCCATATGTCCATGTTTTGATTTGAAACCTTCTGAAAATCACAGCCTCTGTTTTATGCACAGCTTTTAAAACTTTATTATTTGACGTGCACATTATATTGTTGCCACCATCACCTACATAATAGCTGCTTGTTTAATGCCCACCTGGGCAGCCACCGTCATGTTTATGGTTTAATTTTCTGGAGTGCACTTTAGAAAAGGAGTCATGTGAATTCAAACCAGTTTCCACTAATAATTAGTTATCTGTGTGGTATTTAGGCCTGGATATTTGACACGCATGTTTTCTGTCAGGGAAGCGGTCCGGTGCAGGAGGTAAAATCCAGTTCAGTGCTGTTGAGACGGATTGGAGACGCCCACAACAACTATGTGAATATTTTAAGAAAAAAGTCGTCACACAATCGTTTGGAGTCTGGTAAAAACTCAGCAACAAGGTCTGCCCGTGCAAAGAAACTGAGAACTACCTCAAAGGTCAAAAACACTTTCTGGAGACTCCTTGGTGGAACTGATTCCCCCTCCCTGAGGAATTTCCAACTGATAACCAGATGAGCCAGCTGAATAAACTTTGTGTCATCATTTCAGGACTCTTGGATTCTCATAGACGTTATTCTTGGCCATTTCTCGACATACCTCGAGAATGTTTATGGATCTCACCGGAGGACATTGACTGATTACAGTGACCTCGAGAGCATCTGTAGACGTTGTTGACCAGTCTGGTCTCTTCCTTCTTATGCTCTGCTCTGCAGAATGTCTACGTAAATATGTGCTTGTTTGTGCGAAGTGTTTTTTCAATATTAGGGGTTTTTCTCAGCCAAGAAAAAAGTCTGATAGGAATTTTTTTTCGCGTCCAATTTCCTGCATGTGTCCAGTTAACCACTGTTTTTTGTCTGTCCAAACAGGTCTCACTTGTAAATGAGTCTTCGAGGCTCAATGTGATTTATCTGTTTAAATAAAGTTTGAATGAGTTTGCCAACTAAAGGCAGTCAAGTGACATGCCACCTTTGAAACAAATTAATCTACCTGAATAAGAAAGTTCATGTTTAATGGTTTAATTTTCTCCACACTCTTAAAATTTCCTACTGATTGGATGTTTGTATGAATAAATGAAAACAAATAAATGATTTACTTGAAATAGTTTATCAAAATATACTAAACAACAAGAACTAAAAGGCGTCAACTCAAAGAGAGAAGTCAGACAGACTTTGAAGAGTTATCATGCTGGTTTCTTGTTTTCCCCCAAGGGAAGAACCAAGAGGAACGAAACATTCAGACAAAGACATTATAATACAAGTCCTCTTTTTGAAAATCTACGTAAGAGCACACAAATATTTATTGTTTCAGTCAGCTGTCCAATATAATTATATGTTAGTCACTACGAAAATGTTTTTTAAGGTGTGTTAATTTACCATTATGATGAACGGACAAAAGAGGAGACATTGTTTTTGAACTGTGATGTCCAAAATATGTGAGCACACCCAGACAGTGAGGTCACCTGCAGGTATAAAATGTGTTGCACGGCTGAGAAATTTTAGCAACACAATCCAGGAGAACCAAATCTACAGAGCGCACAGAAACGTCACAATGAATCTGATCTTTTCTCTGATTTCCATCTGGGCGCTCATCAGCACAGGTAATGACACTTTTTTCTTTTTATTAGTTCCAAGAAATTATGAAAGACATTAAAAAAAAATAATAATTCACTCAAAATTCTGAATAGGACATTATTGTGGTCAAGAGTGTGCAGTTACTGAAAATTGTTTAAAGTTGACGAGATGATAAAATAATGTTGAAAACTATATTATGAGTTTTTGTGTTTAAATCATAAAATGTAAAAGTTTTTTCTAAATTTCAAAAACAAATAAAGTCAAAGGAAACAAGTATTTAATTGTGTAGCAATAAAAAAAATTTATTGAAAAGAAACTGTCAAATCAGACTTTGAACTAAAAATCATTCTTATGGTTTACCATTTTGTAACCCTTATAAATTGTAAAATACATTTTTCAATTAATCTTTTTTCTGATTTTCAGCTGGAGCACTGCAGTGTTTAAGCTGCACAGATCAGTCATGTTCAGCGACAGCACCAATTACTTGTAGCACAGAGACTATGTGTATAACAGCTTCCATTCAAGGTATTTTATCTAATATGACTTTTATTTACTGCTGAAAATGCTCACTGTGATGTTCTGTGTTCTCTATCAACATTAACAAACTGCTCTTTGACCCTGCAGCCACTTCATCTGGAACTACAGGAACACAAATCTTTAAAGCCTGTGCATCATCAGCTCTGTGTCCAAGCACAGGCAGTCAGACTTTTTCTGCCAACTTGGGAGTGTCAAGTGCAATTGCGTCTGCTCAGTGCTGCAACACCGACAGCTGCAACTCACAAACACTACCTTGTAAGTTTCAATATTTTAAAAAAATTACTAAAATCCTGATATTTGTTTTTTTTCTGTAAAATTAAAAATATATTTTCTTTTTCTTTGTGTTTTAGTCCCCAGCCCTCAGGCAGCTAACAGCCTGCAGTGTCATTACTGTAACCCTCTCACTGCTCAGTGCACTTCTACAGTACAGTGTTCAGGATCTGAGAACAGCTGCATCTCAGCAACAAGTGAGTTTCATACCTATTAATTTATGTGTTTTTATTTCTTTTTGTATAACTTTTAAAATGAATATGATACATGTAAAATTTAGTATCATAAAAATATATTAGATCTTCACCCAGTTATAGCACAGGGAGTGGAATTCGTGTTTGTTCTATTTCATATTGTGTGCTTGTTTGTTTTGTTGTAGTTTTTTATTCGACACATGGAAAATGTTAGGGATAGCAACTAATGCCAATATTTATTAGTTTGTTTGTTAAAAAATTAGACATTTATACAATAATATTTTGGTTTTATGCCCACAGTGAAAAGTGGATCCACAACATCTCCAGCACTCGGCTGTGTGACTCAAAATACTTGTTTAGTTGCTCCAAGTCTGGGCACTTTACCGTTCATGCAAAATGTTGGTAGCATCGTCAGTGGACCGACCTGCTGTTCAAGCAGTTTGTGTAACGTTCCACTGACTACAACAGCAGCACCAACCACCACTACAACCACCCCAACCACCACTACAACCACCCCAACCACCACTACAACCACCCCTACGACCACTACAACAACACCTACCACCACTACAACAACAACTACCACCACTACAACAACACCTACCACCACTACAACAACACCTACCACCACTACAACCACCCCAACCACCACTACAACCACCCCTACCACCACTACAACAACACCTACCACCACTACAACAACACCTACCACCACTACAACAACTCCAACAACCACCACAACTATCACACCCACCACTACAACCACCACTATACTCTCACCCACCATTACAACCACTAAAACAACTGCAGCAACCACTAATACCAGCAGCAATGCATCCAGTGTCAGTCTGGGTCTCCTCCATCTGCTGCTTGGACTGTTAATTTTTATGCTTTGATAAACAGCAGATAAAACAGCGACATCACTTCTACAAAATTGTAAAGGTTTCTGAAAAATTAATTTCAACGAGAAGATGTTCAAAGCAAATATGTAATTGTTCTTTTTTTCCTATCAACTTTAAAGTCAGTGGTATTGTTTACAAGTTTTGGGTTTTATACACTATACTTAAGTTTGAAAAATAAGAAACTGAATTAATGTGCCACAGTTGGTAGAGTTGTTGCCTGTCAGCAAGAAGACTGCCAGATTGAATACCAGCTGGGGAAGGTTAGGATGACGTTTGCATGTTCTCTCCGTGCATGTGTGGGTCTTCTCTGGGTACTCCGGTTTCCTCCCACAGACCAAAAACACAAGTATTAGGTGAATTGGTGACTCTAAATTGTCCCTAGTTGTGAGTGAGAGAGTGAATGGTTGTTTGTCTCGTTTGTCTCTGTGTCCCTGTGATGGACTTGCGACCCATCCAGGGTGTACCCCGCCCCTCGCACCGTGATTGCTGGACATGGGCACCGGCGACCCCCGTGACCCAAAATGGAATAAGCGGGTAAAAGATAATGGATGGATGGTATGGTATGGTATGGTATGGTATGGTATGGTATGGTATGGTATGACTGCTGAAGATAGACACCAACAAACCCAGTGATCCAGAAAGGAAGATGTGGGTAAAGATAATGGATAGATATCTAGATGGAAGAAAGTTATATTTATTACGTTTTTGTGGTTATTTTCCTTTTAATCTGTACACATGTTGACCTTTTTTTAAATTACTTTTTTCATTAACATAAAAATAATTTGTACATTTTTTAATGCCAATATTTCTACAAACTGTTTTGTGTACATTTTGTAATGCAACATGCAAGTTGCTTTTTGAAATTTGCATCTTTTGATTGTGAAACCTGGTTTTTCTGGGTGACTAATGAAGAGTAAGCCAAATTTCTGACTAATAAAGCTGTTTATGTTTAAAGTAGTTTGGTTTATCGGTTTATTTGCGTAATATCACTAAAATTGGAAACATCTAAAAAATGATGCAGAAAAACTGGTTCATGCATTTGTCACATCTAGACTGGACTATTGCAATGGTTTGTTATCTGGGTGTCCAAATACGTCTTTAAAAAGTCTTCATTTGATCCAAAATGCTGCTGCCAGAGTCTTAACTGGAGTTACTGGGAGAGATCATATCTCTCCAGTTTTAGTTTCTCTCCACTGGCTCCCTGTCAAGTCCAGAATTTAATTCAAAATCTTACTTCTAACCCACTAAGTTCCCAACAACCTAGCTCCATCTTATATTGAAGAACTTATTGTTCCATATCTTCCTAACAGAGCACTTCAGTCTCAGACTGAAGGCTTACTCGTGGTCCCTAGGGTTTCCAAAAACAGAATGGGAGGAAGATCTTTCAGTTATCAGGCTCCTCTCTTGTGGAACCAACTTCCAGATCCTGTCCGTGAGGCTGACACAGTGTTCAGTTTTAAGACTGGGCTTAAGACTGTCATTTTTGACAAATCCTATAGTTAGGGTTGGCTTGTTATGCTGCTATAGACTTAGACTACTAGAGGACAAATTGACCTAATTTCCTTAAATGAATTGTTAAAGTTCAATAGTTTTCATTTGATACTATTTCTATCTTAACATGTGATTCTTGACCTGCCATTGTGTATCTGTTCATACCAAACCCAGCCGGTCGAAGCAGATGTGCCGCTTGTCCTGAGCCTGGTTCTGCTAAAGGTTTCTTCCTCATGAGGGAGTTTTTCCATTCCACAGTCGCCATCATGCTTGTTTGAGATGAGAGTTCTGTGAGCAGTCTGCTCCTCAGCTAAATAATGTTAACTTATTATTTTTATATGAATGTTTTTGTTAACTTATTATGTTTATACAGTTTATGAATGTTTCTGGTCAGTGCCCTGAGACGAATTCTGCTGTGAGTTGACACTTTATAAAAACACTGAATTGAACTGAATTGAGACTGACTGAGGATGGATGAATGAAGAGGGAGTGAGGAGTGGCACAGAAACACATTCAAAAACACAAGAATCAGAAGACAGAAATACAAATCACAAGGTGAAAAGAGACAAGAGAAACTCAAAGAAAGTAACAGAAAACACAGATTACGTCAGTTTTATTTGAAAACGGGAAGATTACACCACCACAGCAAATGTGCCAAGAGAGGAACATTCACCAAAACTCATACATCGGGTAAGGAAGGCATTAACCTGAGGCCAAAGATAACCCTGATGGAGTTGTATGAGCCTATCTGCCTCATAAAACAGAGGGTTTAAAAACTGCCATTGCTTAATGAAAATAAAATAAAGCAGACTATGTGGAATTTGCCCCCCAAAATATTAGCATCTCCTGAAGTGTGGAAGAAGTTTCAGCTGTGACTAAGGACAACAGCATGTTGTCATGGCACTTCTCAGGCAAAGAATAGTATTCCCACAGTGAAGTACGGCGGTGGCAGCATCATACTGTAGGAATGTTTCTCAACAGCAGCTGAGAAACTCGTCAGAGTAAAAGGAAAGATGGATGAACCATAATATCAAGAAATCCATGACTGTTTTATTCACTAACACAAAAGTATCCTAATGCACAGGGATTGTTAAAAAAAACTTAATGAAACTATATGTTTATTTTTAATTAATTTGAATAAAATCATGATTAGTGACAAAAAGAATGAGATCGCAGATACAGGCGATTGAAATGAGGTTCCTCTGCAGGGTAGCTGGACTCTCCCTTAGAGATAAGGTGAGAAGTTCAGTTATCCAGAAGAGTCTCAGAGTAGAACTGCTGCTCCTTCACCTCCAGAGGAGCCAGTTGAGGTGGTTTGGGCATCTGGTAAGAACAGTTCTGGGGCACCTCCCTAGAGAGGTGCTTGGATGGATGGATGGATGGATGGACGGACGGACGGACGGACGGATGGACGGACGGACGGACGGACAGACGGACAGACGGACAGACGGACGGACGGACGGACGGACGGATGGACGGACTGACGGACGGATGGACGGACGGACGGACAGACGGACGTTTGGATAGATGAATGGAATAAAATGATCTAAATTTACAAAATGCATATTATTGTTGTTGTTTTGTACATGGCCTAAATATATTGACAGAACTGACAGTTGACTCCATTTAGTTTGGGCTGACTTCCTTGCATAATAGCTTTCATAAACGATCAGCCTTATCCTCCACATTAATGGCATCAGGCTCGGCACCAGTAAGACCAAGACAATGGCTAATCCACATTAACAAGATTGACAGCAATAAAATCAGAATATCAGTCAAAATGAACTTTGCAGTTATATTAATAACTTAGGAGGCTGAGCCATCAGAAGTGAACATTAAAGATGTACGTTGATTTCTTCTGAATTTCTGCATTTATCCTTTATGAAGTAAATAATGTATTTCAGTAACTGTTAAAGGGCATTATCCCACTAACTGCATTGCTTTGTGAATCCTTGAAAAACGGAATAAAAAATGAAGCCAAGTGACTGACAGGCCATATGTCCATGTTTTGATTTGAAACCTTCTGAAAATCACAGCCTCTGTTTTATGCACAGCTTTTAAAACTTTATTATTTGACGTGCACATTATATTGTTGCCACCATCACCTACATAATAGCTGCTTGTTTAATGCCCACCTGGGCAGCCACCGTCATGTTTATGGTTTAATTTTCTGGAGTGCACTTTAGAAAAGGAGTCATGTGAATTCAAACCAGTTTCCACTAATAATTAGT